ATTTTCATCGTTTATATCGCTTTTATTTATAATGTTAATATCGTTCAGATCTGCTTCTCCAACTCCGGACGAGATCTCACAGAGTAGTGGACCAAAGGAGAACACTACCAACTACCTGTTACCACCTCAAGTTTATTGAGTAATTCTCTCAAGCCAGAGCTGAGGCATGGTACGACGATGTTATTTCACCGAGAGCAATAACACAATTGGATTACGTGCCAATTTTGTCCGTTTTTATTGCTGTCAATCCGACTGTACCTACCCCTGCCCAAATCTTATTATAGGATTCAAAGGCACTGAACACGATGGCTGGAGGGCCTCTGGAGGCAATTTGGCGAGCCAGTTGAGCGTGATTGGTGGAAGGAGTTTGGAAACTGGTCGCAACCACACCCCCCCCACCGCGCTTAAAATTCTAGCCTACCACCTAACCAACAACGTCCAATGACGTCACCGAAACAGCTCCGCCCTCCAGCATCGTGTTCACTGCCTTTGAGTGTATCTACTGGTAGATTAGGTTCTAAGCATTAATAACAACGGAGCAACTCCTAATAATCAAGTATTTTTGACTATGTTTAACTATGCTGATGTCGTTAGGTGAGATACTTGGTAGCTAATTATCGGGTAGGCTCACAAGTATGACAAAATTCCTCAATACATTACTCGTCCAAACTTTTATCGATCATCACGCTAAGCTATATTTACTGAAGATACTTAATAAGTGTTAGATGGGCCATTGGGACGTTAGGTAACCGTCACTGTGTTCTTATTTTATAAACATGTTATAATTCATTCATTACCATGCTCACATGAATACTACGACCGCATATTCGTCTATGTTGACCCAGGTTGAGTACCGATTATCTCGGATGTACATTGCATGTGTGATTTCTCTTTTCTTTTGAGAATAATTGATTTAATGAATAACGATTGACATATATTATGAGATACACGCAATCTAACACCCTCCAATAATTTTAACAACGATTGTTAATTTATACTTAAATATGTTCAAATGGGGTTATCGGTATCGGTTTCAGGGCTTCTGTGTCATCACAGGGCAATCGTAAACCAATTCTGACAATCGGTCAGCGTGCAATCATCAAGTACTGTATTGACAATGCCAAAGATGACATTGGTAGGATTTTATTATCAGTTGATATTTGATAATTGGATTAATTGCTTTCATTTCAGCCGATCGAATTATTCGCCGTGCCACCGAGAAAAGGGAGGACTTCAAATTGTTCATGGATAATCTCACACGGGTACGTTTCAGCTTTTGGCCATAACCCTACCGAGTTATAGCTGCTTCTCAATGTTACATATTTCACTGGTCGATAAAAAAGGCTGGTAAAAAAGAAGCCCAGAATTACTGTGCGGAGGTAAATAAACGAAAAAATTCTATATGTGATGGATCAATACCATTTTGGGATAGTCTTCCACTCTAAGCCAAGGTAGCCTTCAGATGCGACCACAGTACAGGGAGCTGCAGGCATCAATCGATGTATTGATCAGCCACCGTTTTTGATATTCCTAGAAGGCATCATTGCCAATCGTTGCGAGGTGCACACACATTCAAATGACTACAGACTCTGAATGGGAGCGACTTGCGTGGCGTATTCGAGATCTGTGTGTCAATACCTAACAATTCTTTTATCCTTATGACCATTTCTGTTTCCATAAGCTCGTATTAATTAGCCGTGCAGCGTGACAATAAGTTTTAATTTGTCTGTAGATTTAAAGGCAGGGGTTGCGACTAATTGTCTGAAGCGATTCACGCCGTGAATGGGGTAGCAGGGTTTTTGAGCACAGAAGTCGTGACATTTTTCGTGACTCTAAAGTGTGTTAAGCATTCGCCTTAACTACTGTGACCTTTGCTATTCCTTTTCCTTTGAAACATTCGCGATGTCCGTACCCTCTCCCACGACATGCTGTCTCCCATATACCTCTCCTCCCCGTGGTATGTCTCTCTGTCGTATCGCAGTCGATTTAACAAGAAAAGAGGTCCTCAATTTTGTGTTATGTTCATCTTCTTCGTACCTCTTGTTTACTTTTGGAGGTACACCACGTACCAGTTTTATCGCAACCCGTGCCTAAGAAGGGCATCGCTGAGCCTCAGCTCAACCCAGTCGAGTTTAAAGCTTTTGTCTTGGCGGTGGCACTTGCCATCACCAAATTCACAGGTCTGCTACCGACGCGAAAACAGTTCTACTACTCACCGCTAAAGATCGCTTTAGATATTCTTTCAATTCCGAATTTGGCTGCATTCACCATTTTATTTGTGCGGAGAAGAAAGAAAAAACTTTCCCGCTGAGAATAATCAAGGGAAAGGGTTACGTTGGTCGCCGTATGCTTTTGTAGGAATCGTCCATTTCCTTCGAAACGTATTGGCAGCCTTCTCTAAACTGCATAAGTTAAACTAATCTAACCAAAGTCGTCGAAAGGCTTCCTGTCTGGGAAATGGAGTCAACCTTCGGGCACAGCTTATACAAGTGGCTTCCTCAGAGCAGCTTTTTTGACTGAAACTGTGAGTGAGTTCTGTGGAAAAAATCTTTTATGGCCTTCTTCTATTTGCAAAATGCTCACTCAAAACTGCATGAGATGATTCAGCAGGTCGGGTTCTCTTTTGCACTAAACAGCTGCCTGCTCTCAGCTGAAGGTCTTCTGTCAAAACACAATGAAACGCTAGATCATGGGTTATGTGACCCAGATCTTGTAGCAGTCAACACCTCGAGTTGAAAACATCTTCACCTCTGGAGGCTGAGATTCTCCCTAACAGTCGCTGAGAAAAGGCCTTGGAGAGCTAATAGCTGAAGTCTAGAACTTCTAGTAAACGCTCGACCTCAGTCGCTCTCACTTCTTCACGGCGCTATCGCAATATACGGGGGCATTTTCTCTGAACGCGTGCATACGGTCCAGGTAGTTACATACTTTTTAAGACCAGGTAAAGTTTGGAACGCAGTTAGATGTGTATGTTTTACCAAATGCCGGCGGTTTTTTTCCTACGCATTTTGCTGATTTTTGCTGAATTTGTAATATTTACACCTTTAGGCGCTATCGCAAGATACGGGGGCATCTCTAGGAATGGGAATCTCTAGGAAAAAAATTTATTCCTTCAGAGCGCTGCTGCAGATTCTGGGGCAGGAGGGGCAGGAACATTGGGAAATAAAAAAATTTGGAGCCTCTTCTTCACTTAAGGCTTAGTCCCATTTTGACAGAAAAAAGATGTTTTACGCTGTTCGAAGTGCATTGTCACCACAATGCCCCCGTATCTTGTGATAGCGCTCATTCTTCACTATAGTATATCTAATTAAATAGTTTAGCCCCGAAGCGATGTTGGGGTTTTCAGGCCCAGACAGCCGCTATTTTGAGAGACATCAATCAGGCCGCCGGCGATAGCGTGGGTTGTTGATGAGCCAAAAAACGCCGGATGACGTAAACGCGGAACATTGGACTGAGACGGCTGGTACAACACGGCATCAATCTGTGAAAACAACAATAACGGCCACCGGTGGATGGCCCTCGAATGAGGTTCTGCTGGGAACAAGCCGTCTTTCAATGCTCAGAAACTTCTTCGAAATCGAAGTTGTTACTGTTGCTGAATATAACCGGGGTCGGCAGCTAATTGTCGACGCCATACTGTCAATATTGGAAGAGTTATAATGACTTTTATTACATCACCATAAAAATATGGACTGACGTCATAAACTGGGCGGAAGTGGTACAGTGATAAATGGCCCTACCACACAATCAAGGATCAAATTTATTTATTTAATACACCTGAAAGGGTGTGCACACGATGGACAAACAGAGTTGTAAAGCTGAGCGATCCATGATACAAAAAGTAAAAATAAAGAAAGAAGGAGAGAAAATTGGGCTAAAACGTAACAATGAAAATAACCCTGAGATTATGGAATAGTTCAGAAAAAGGAACTGAGATGGCAGCCATTGAGGTCCTACACTGTAGCCGGTAATAAGGCCGCACTCACCATCCGGAAGACCGAAAAGGTCCCTGACGAGATCCTTGTCCCTCGTTCGGACGCTTTCGAGTCGAATAACGTACCGGGGCTTGCAACCAACTTAACCCATGACTAACGAATTAGTCTGGGACCCCAGGCGACCAAATGCTGGAATTCGTACGCCATCAGGCAAGCAAGCGTTCCATCCATCCCTAGCCAGTGTGAACTGGTACTATGTGTGTGTAGGAAAACACGACGAGCTCTACATCAGCTCAACCCCGCATTCAAAAGGCCAATATAATTCTGAAAAGAATGTCCTGCGCATCCCAATAACAGATTCATTATTTTTACAACATAACATATAATTTCATGGATTACTTGAAATTATCATGCTGGGGTGTTACCTGAAGGTAAAACAAACTTGTGCGCCTTCAACACTTGAAGAAATATTCACAACAAAGTAGGAGGTCGGAAAGGGGAAAGCTCCCATGTGGGATCAGCGGACCTTCCTAAAGGTGCGAAACGACACGTATTGGCAAGGGTACGCCAATGCGGCCTAGTATGGTCATCACCGCGTCACTGGCACGGCTACCCGCCCACACCTTCGCGGTCTGGCTTTAGCCGTTTAGTAGAGAGAGCGTTAGCGTTGAAGAGGGCAGCACCGACGAGAACTGCACCAAAGCGGAATCAACTGGCGAAAAAACGAGTCCATTTCCAGGTTTTTCTTCACCTTCATGCATCACTGTCTACCTCTACTGGTTGATTCTAAGGTGCAGCACTACTTTCATTGTGACTTCGCCTTACACGGATAGCTACTACTCAATTCATAGATGCGATTTCTTTATTCTTCTTCTTCTTCCATAACTCCTATGTATGAGAAAGCGATTCATTTTCCAAAAAATTACATTTCAGGCGCAACGCAATGAAGTCTCTGAAGCTTTACGGGTATTTCTGACGGGCGTTTGCGATTCACTTACCGACGCCGAAGAAATTCAACGAGTAAGCATTTTTCTTCTCTTTCGGAACATCGGTTTCTTGGAAATATATCTCTTACTATCTTTGTTATTTTTAAGAGAATAAAATGGAATTTTATTGACCACACTTTTATCCTGCCCGCGCCTTCAATGAGCGACCGGCTTAAAAGCATCATCTGATTTCAGAACCGTTCCTAAACCATAGGCATTTCGTTGATCCGCTGTAGTTCAGCAATGTAATATTTGATTATCTCTGCCTAAAATAACCCTTTTTATCACAATAGCAAACATTTGGCTCTCCCTGAAAAGCCTTAAGCCGATGTCAGACTTTGCGAATCGCGCGATTCGCTACTAGCGATTCGCTAGCGTCCGCGGTCGCGTTGCGGTACCAGCCAATTGAGTGATTCACTGGCCGCGACGCGACCGCAGACGCTAGCGAATCGCGCGATTCGCAAAGTCTGACATCGGCCTAGGCTCCCTGAGCACCCATTAAACCGCAAGATACGGCAGCGTGATAGTGGCCACGTACATAGTTCGCAGATATTTCGCGATAGAAGCGCTCATACAAAAATATACAGAACCTGACTCGTTGTTCTTGTTCTTCTTCTTCTCCCTAGCGTTAGTCCCGCACATTCGCAGGATCCGCTGACAACCAAACCTTTCTTTCCTCCGATCTAGATGACCGATGCGAAAATTTATACATTACCAGATGGGCACCTACTGCACTTCTTGTTTCGTGTGGCATCCAAACATGAATGCTTTTTGAATAGAAGTGGACAGTGTGTGACGCGATCGTGCCAAGAAGATTTACACTACCATCACTTCTGGCTTGGAAAGTCGTATGAAAGACATAAGGGAAGGAGAGAACCAGCATTCATGTACGAATTGCTTTGTCTCTGTGACGCAGAACAAGCCTCGGCTTTAGCATTTCCCCATAGGATTTACTTTGAAGTCATAAACTCTAAAAGGGCCAGTCAAAGAGGACCAGCTTCGAGAGGATTCAACTTAAGCTTCCAATGCTTCTTTCTCATTGTACTAACTGCCAAACTAACGATAAGTCCTTCATCCAACACTAAAATTCATGAACTTGATCAAGCATCCGTTTTAAGGCAACGGGTGGGATAAGTGGAAGGCAAATCGAAACGGCTCTCTATTGCCGGACCATCTTCCAACAGCCGTCCACCAATGGACAGCTTCGTTCTTGCCCGCCTTCTAGCAATCGTACCCTTACTTTTTGAAACTGGTCTTGTTGAAAGTCCTAACTGTATAGATTGGCAGAATTTCAATCGTTACCTGAAACGCGGTACATTGATTATAAGTAAACACTAAAGCAACTTGATTTTGATTATTATTTATTTATTAAGTTATACTTACTTTACTTACTGCCGGTGATAAGATAGACAAGCTACAAGTGGCCTAAGGATTACAATAGGTAGAAAAAACAGAGTAGTGAAGATAGATTATATAACTATATAATTATAAAAAATGCATCAAGAGATATAGAAGCGGGAAAGAGGGTCTGTGCTCGCCCAGGAGAGGAACGAAGAGTTGCCCCTGTAGAACATTATTATTATTATTATTATTATTATTATTATTATTATTATTATTATTATTATTATTATTATTATTATTATTATTATTATTATTATTATTATTATTATTATTATTATTATTATTTTGACTTGTTTTTGTTTGTTAACTGCTGTTTTTGGCCGCAGTTCGCCTTGCGAATGTTTCACAAGAATGCTGGGTTGTGAACAAAACTTTCGCCCCAGGCGGGACTAGAACCCGCACCTCTCGCTTTCCGGGCAAGTGCGCTACCAGTTACGCTACCGGGGCACCATTTCATCCCAACTCAGCTTCATGGAAACAAAACAGAGGTAAGCCAAACTGGATCATACAGAACGCAAAGTAATATATTAGGAACTCGCTTCCGAGCCTTTACGAAGATCAAACTTCAGCTTTGATTCTTATTCTCAACAAGAAAAAAAAAAAGAATATACCGAGAACGAAATAATTCCAGTTCTTAGTACCATCCCTGATCAATCATAATTACTAATATTCATGTAAATATCCAATATTATTGTTTAAAGTTCAAGAGTTTTCTTTGAAGCTCTCAAGTATCATAGAATGCATCAGAGTAATAAAATGATCTTCATCAAAGTCCATCATGTTCCAATGTACGAAGAATTCGGCTCATCGCATGTGCCGTTCCGAAGTTTCGGCTTCAAACCGGACTTCTTCGCCTGTACTGCCGACGCAGTCACGACTGAGTGCACTTTCCTTGATCAGGCGACGCATACACCTAGCGAAACTGCTGGGTCATGGTTAGTGTTTTACGCGAAGTGATTCATCCCTTTTTTCAGAACAAATTGGAAAAATTATGTTGGTTATTAAAAAATAGCCCGGGTCATTAATGAAGTTTCGCAGTTGCGAAAGCGGCATAAGTGGTGGCGTTTTTCGTCAAAAGCAGCGATGAAGGGTCATCGCACCGCCACGCGCGACGGCTTTGCGGTTTCTGCGCGACGTCGCTATCTGGGCCTCCTGACCTGTTCACGGTTCGTGATTCTCGATTGGATTTTTTGGAGCAAAATGTTTAACGTAATGAGCCTTCGAAATTTTGACAGAAGTTAAGCAGCATTTTTAAAGGCTCATTCCTCTGAGAGATATGTCATGCTGTCTCATTCTCCTCATTACCTATTTTGACATGAAAATGATCGGCTTGAAGCAAGGAATGTCCGTCAACAATTTAGCAATGACTTTTTTTTAGAGAAAAAAGAAGACTAGAAAAAAAAAAACTCCCATTTCATTCCCGTAGAAGACCTGTTTTGAAGAAGTTCACTCAAAAGGGCCAGAGAAAATTATCTCAGTTGAGAATTGGCCCAGCGAATTTGACAGCAATTTGCATTCCACTTCCCGAACTCCACGTCTGTTAGGTGTTACCTTTACTTTCATATGAAAATTGCGTTGTACTTCCAGGTCAACTCTGAGCGCATTTGTGTTCTCGGCTGTTCGTGGATGGTTATTACACAGAGCTTCGACGGCAACGCAAGTGCAGCAATGCATTTCGGAATCGACCATCTGTCGACGTCAGTTCTGACGGAAGCGTAGTTGATGGCGGCAGTCGAAGGTCAGTGGCTTACCTTTAGGTATCCCTCGTTTTGCAAACCCTTTTCGAAAAACCACAAAACAGTTTCGTAGACTTGCTGTATACAAGTTTACTGAGAGGGTCTGCCCATCGGGTGGGGGGTCTGCCTTGTTTTCCCCTGAACAAGAGTCACGTGCTTGTGGAGCGATCATTCGCGTGGGGGAGTTTAAGCTACCGTTGACCGGCCCACGTCCGCATTTGTAGATATCATCATGACGGCCTTAACCCATTCGTACGAGCGCGAATGGCCTTTTTGGTGCCTAGAGGATATAAAATGGTCGCACAAAATATATTTCACCTAACCCTTTTTGAATTGTGCCTGGCCGAGCTTCACAGGCAATCATAGACAGGTCAACCGTCTTCGAACTGTCTCGAACGAGGCGGTCGTTTGTGTTCTGGGAGGGGAGAGGGACGCATTGTTGGGGCGGGAGTTGTGGCCGGTGATATATACAGTAGCGGTCAAAAGTCTTCGCCGAAATTGTTTTTCGACTGTAACTTTTTTTCCGCTGAATCAAATCAATTCAAATTTTAATATGTTTTAGAGATATTCCTACTTCACTTAAACGGCATATTTGTTTCGGATTGAGAGAGAGTTAAGAATGAAAAAAAAACATTTCACTAGAAATTCTCGCGTATGAGCAAATTCCAAGTAGGTTTCAAATTACTCTAGCGAGCTTACAATTCAACAAAACAATCTTACGCATGATGAATAACACTGGGCAGGTCCAATACTTTGTTAATGATCTTCTGGGTTCGCTGAAATACTAACAAGGCCTAAGTAAGGAATCAGTCATTGAATGCAGTGTCTACTAGGGCAGCTTCCTCCACTTCTCTTTGAATTTGACGAGTTTCTCGCCCATATTTCCGGCTCTTATTTCCACCAAAGGTATCCCTATCCTTTCCCATAATGTTTCGATGGCGCTCGGGACATTGGGTGTGAATTGTTCCCTTCGTTGAAAGCGCGCCATGCTGGCGAAGCCACTCCTTCACAGTAAAGGTGCGATGCTTTTCTTCGCACTAATGCTAGAAGGCGAGCTCAGTTTTGACCAACTGTCATACATGTGGATAAGAACTCCTTCTAGAACCCAACTGTATAGGCTGCCTTCACATGATTGCGAATACTGCGAAGTTAGTCGGCGGTGAAATGGTCGGGGGCGAAATGGGCTTACGCACACCTAAAGTGGGGATCCCCATAGGGCTACAACGTCCTGCGGACCAACGAGAGTGTATTCAAGATGTTTACCGGCGACTGAAATAGGAATGTGTGCGGTCCTGAGGGAAAACGTTTCGATCCAAGGAATTAACTGCCGTATGTAAAACTTGGCGGAGGCTCGCGTGTGGTAGTCCGTAAAAGAAGTTTTACAACTGCACAGGATTAGAGAAGTGGAGGATGCCGACGTATCAGATAGATTCTGGAAGGAGTTTCGTATTCGCTCGTATGAAACTGTACGTGACTGAGTTCGCCTTCTAGCTATAGAGCGACCAAAAGCATCGCACCTTCACTGTGAAGGATTGGTTTCGACAGCATGGCGCGCTTTCAACGAAGGGAACAATTCACACCAATGACCCGAGCGCCATCGAAACATTATGGGAGAGACTAGGGATACCTTTGGTGGAAATAAGAGCCGGAAATATGGGCGAGAAACTCGTCAAAGTTCAAGAGAAGTGGAGGAAGCTGCCCTTGTAGACACTGCATTCAATGACTGATTCCTTACTTAGGCCTTGTTAGTATTTCAGCGTACCCAGAAGATCATTAACAAAGTATTGGACCTGCCCAGTGTTATTCATCATGCGTAAGATTGTTTTGTTGAATTGTAAGCTCGCTAGAGTAATTTGAAACCTACTTGGAATTTGCTCATACGCGAGAATTTCTAGTG